AAACACAGTCAATCGCTCTCCCAAATCTCTGAGAATGTAGATCTTCTCAACATTGGGGTAGACAGAGATTTTGTAGATAGGACACAGAAAGCACTAACCATGCAAGATAAAATAGTAAGGTGGACTTTATAAAAATGAAAACCTTCAACTCCACTCTTCAAATGAAAGGCAATGCCCTAGCTGGTTTGGGTCAGAGGATAGAGCATCAGCCTGGGAACTGAAGGGTCCCAGGATCAATTCTGGTCAAGGGCACATGCTTGGGTTGTGGGCTCGATCCCCAGTAGTGGGTGTGCAGGAGGCAGCCGATCAATGATTCCCTCTCATCATTGATGTTTCCATCTTTCTCTCCCTTTCTATTTGAAATCAATAAAAATATATTTTTTAAAAAAGAAAGGCAAACCACCAATGGGAGAAATATTCTGTGTGTGTGTGTGTGTACATATACATATAGGTGTACATGTATATATCTATTTATATAGGTTCTAGAGGCCCAGAGCATGAATTCATGCATGGTTGGGGTCTGGCTGGTCCTGCCCCCAATTGCGGGGGGGGACTACTGGGGGTGCAGCTGGCCAGGGGGAGGGGCCGAGGGTGGTTGGCCAGCTGGCCCTGCCCACTGGTCGAACTCCAGTCGAACTCCCAGTTTGCATATTAGCCTTTTATTATATAGGAAGGCATGTGTATATATGTATACAAACATGTGTGTATACATATATTATATAAGTATACACACATATATGATGCAGAATATATAAAGAACTCCTACAACTCACTAATAAGAATTTTAAAAACCCAATAAAAATTGCCAAAGACTTAAAAAAACTTGGAAAATGGAATGGCCAATACACACATAAAAAGATGTTCAGCATCAGTGGTCACCAAGAAGATGCAAACTCCTGGGAAGACAGCACTACAGAGCTGCTAGGATGGCCAGAGACCGGCACTGCCCAGTGCTGTGAGGGTGTGGGGCCCCTGGACTCAGACACCCTGGAGGCCTATGACCTGCTGCAGCCACACTGGTGACAGCGTGGCAGCTCCGTATGAAGTTAGTGGCTGTGATTCCTCACGATGCAGCCGTTGGTCCACCTCTGTTACCCATGAGCAATGAAACAGGGCCACGCAGACGCACTCACAAAGGTTCACAGCAGCTCCATTTGCAAAAGCCCCAAAGTGGGAACAACCACAACATCCATCGGCAGCTGGTGGCTAAGCAAAGCCTGGCCCGTCCACACCGTGGATCACTACCCAGCAGTCAGAACGACTCGGCCGGTTATACACGCAGCACCTGGGCAAGTCTCCGCCTAGTATGCCGATGAAAGATGCCAGACACATTGCGTGACCATTCACAGAAAATTCTAGAAAATGCAAACTAATCCACAGTGACAGAGAGCAGGCCGGCAGCTGCCTGGTGCCAGGAGAGCGCAGAGGCCAGGCTTTCGGGGTGACAGAGATGCCCTAAGTGTTGGCTGTGGTGGCGGTCACAGAGGCCTGTAGGTTGTCAAACCTCATTGAACTATTCCCTTAGGACAGGTGCGCTTTACTGTATGCCAACGACTCCTCCGCAGGCTGGTTCGTTCTGGGGTCTGCGGTTTCTGGGGGGCTCACATGCCCTGTCCCTCACAGCCTTCTGTCCTTAGTCCAGTGGGCCCTGGGGACCCGGGCCCTTCACTTAGCCCCTTACTTGCTGGAAACAGACGTACTCCGTGAAGAAGAAACATACTTCAACTCGGATTTAACAACCATAACAAAACCCCAGAGCCCGCCCACCGGGCAGCCGCTGGCCTGGGGTTCGTGGCTTCCGCCCACCACACAGCTCTCAATGCAAAGGGGAACAGAGCACTCTGGCCAGCTGGGCTTCCTGCACGCTTAAGTCCTTTCTGTTTCTTACAGAGATCCCCTGCCAGCAGCGAAACAGTGATCATTGGAGCGGAGTGAGTCACAGAGACCCCAGGAGTTCCCCCGAGGAGAGGAGTTGCACAGGCTCGCTCCCCTCTCCGCTCCTTCTTTCCCTCCCTCCTCCCCCTCCACTGCCCTCCCAGCTACACAACCCTGAGCCCCGATTCCAGGCCCCTCGGCTTCCTGTTCTCTTCTCTCAGCCTGGACAGTGGCCCCCAGAGCCAGACCTCGGAAACCTTAGGGGGCCCTTAAAGAACTCTCCACCCTGGGTTCACTCTTTGAGACCCTCCCCCAAGATCGAAGGCCACGCCACGGGCAGCCCTGTGCACCCTGCCCTGACCACAGAAACACCCGGTATTATTCTGGAAGGAGACTCAACAGGCCAACACTTTTGCTTCCACCCCAACAAGTCAGTTCCTCTTAACTCAGATTCGGTTCCTGCCTCTGAGTGAGGTGAGCCTCATCTCCGCCTGGAACTCCCCTCACGCTCCA